AAGCAGCCCCCATGGTCCAGGATGGCTGTAGATGGGCACTGCCAGCCCAACCAGTGCTGAGCTATCACTTTTCAGCTGGAAACGGAACTGGCACGAGCCCTCAGCTGGGAAGCAGAGCCCTTGCGAGGCCAGACTGTGGTTAGCTATCAGAGACAACTAAAAAAAGATATTCCACACACAGGGTTGGGGTTTTCCTCCCCCCTTTCTTTTTTTTGTTTTTTTTCCTTTTCTCTTTCCAAGGATTAAATCAACTCAACAGCCCCCTTTACAGCTTCCCTTTTGATGTGCTCACACTCATTAAAGTTTCATTTCTTTCTCCATTTTCCCTGGGGGAGGAGGGGAAGCCTACACAAAAGTTTACTTCAGAAGCAGGGTCGGCAGCTGCAGCAGCAGCTGCTCTTGCTGTGGGACAAGCAGAAGCTCTGCTGGGCTTCACACCCTGCCCAAATCCCTCAGCAAAATCCATCCTCCTGCAGACACCCCACTCCCACCTGCAGCCCCAGCATCCCACCGGGACGATGCTCCCATGGCATGTGTGCCCAGGGTCACACACCACCTGCACACCCCAACAGTTTTGGGGTCCAACCTGAGTTTTTGGGTCTCACCCTGCAAGTGTTCAGATTCAACCCTGCATGTTTTCAAGTCCAACCCTGCAAGTTTTGGGGTCCATTCCTGACCCGCCCAGCTCCTCCCACCAGCAGCATCATCCTTTCCCCTGCAGCTGTGCCCATCGCCCCAGGATAATCCACACACACACCCCAATTGAGTATCAGCTCCTCCACGTTTTTTCTCTGCCCGAGCAGCTGTTTAAGTGTCTATTTTAAAACTCAGTTCCCTATTTTAAAATAGCTAATGAGACACTGATCTAGGCCGATAGACGTCAGCTCTGCAAGGTCTGGGAGATGCTTGTCTGTTCGCTGGGCTCTTTTTCCCAAGCCCTAGATCTCGGCATGCCTGTCACGTTCCCAACACACAGAAACATCTTACATGGGAAAGAGGGAAGTTTTTAATTTAAGGGCCAACTCCTGCACCCCTGCCGTGAAACACCAGCAACACAGCCACGTGTTTCTAGATGGAGACACACCAAGCAGCCAGGCAGAGGCTGATGTTCTAAACTGGTTTTTGTTGGCATTTTTTTATCCTCCCTTTGATTTGATCAGGTCTTTATAAAATTCCCTGACCAAGAGAGGCTGGGCTGCCTGGCACAGCCCCTTGCTGCTGCCTCAGAAGAGCCAGGCATGCATGAGAGGGATTTTCAGAAAGCAACTGCCCATGGCAGGGTATGGCAGGAGGTCCCCATGCATTCCTGTGCAATCCCAGGGATCCCGTGCAACCCCTTTACATGCTCTCCAAGATGCTTTGCAACCCACCAAAGCAACAGGGACCCCCTGGAGGGGACACCACTCACTTACCTGACCACAGGCTCAGGGATGGCCTCAGCACTTGCTGGCACCTGGACACCCTTCTCCCACTCCTGCCTCCAGGGATCAGCCAGGACGTAGTAGTCATCGGGGCTCAGCTGGAAGGAGTCAGGGATCTTCATGGCTGTTATCAGATCTGTACGGAAAACCTGCATTGGAAGAAAAACCACACACTTCAACAGGCAGGGTGAGGGGTCTGGCAGAGGTGGTGTACACACACAGCCAGGGAGGGTGCCCTGGGGAAATGGTCCTCGAGGGACAGTGAGGCAGGTGCCTGCATCCCCAGCGGCACAGCTCCAGGATATCACCTCATGTCACCTCTGGCGTGACATTTGGGCAGGATTTGGGGAGAACAAGGTGGGCAGGCAGGGACTTACCCAGCCAAGAATCTAAGTACCTGTGGCTGCAACTCCCACCCTGGGATCCCCAAGCCTAGGCAGCTGTGAAATCCAGTCACTGGGTGCAAGCTTGGCTGGGACACAGACCCAAAATTAGTATTACAGAAATGATGGGCTGCTTCCTCTCAGCTGATCAATGGTTCAACAGACATGAATGAAGCTGTGGGAAACAGAGAGTCACCCCAGGCACCTCTGTGTCACCACTACATCCCCGAGTGGGGATAGCCAAGAGCAGGACTCCATCAGGTACCAGTGGTGACTGCACAGCGAGGAGTAAAAGGCAAAATAAAGCCAGCTAGAGCTGCAAAATACAGTTACACAGGGATCTAGGTGCCTGCCTACACCTTCACAGCCAAACATAGGGAGATTACTCCTGACCCAATAAACTCCTGTGAGATGGACACTGGACCCTTCCTCTGTGAAAATTCTCCAGCCCTTGGACAGTGAACGGGGTCATTCTCCATCTCACCTCTGGCCCTGCAGAGTAACTCCCCCAATATAACATAATGAAAAACTCATTCCAAAAAAAATCCCGCACAGTAAATGAGGTTTTCCTTCCAGAGGGTTGCCTGACAGCAGTGACTCAAGCAATCCTGCCTCTCGCAGCATAAAAATAAATTCTAAATGAAAATGGATGATTTCTCCTCTCTGCCATCTGCTATTAGCTGAAATAATAAGTGATGGTGCCAGCAATCACGCCTGGACACCATCTCGCTCCTACTTCTGCACTACCTGCTGCAGGGCCAGGAAGGATCAGCTGTTTTCTTCAGACACTGTTTAATCTGTTAGCAGAGCCTGTCCTCCAGATGAGTATTGCTTTGTTAGAACCACAATGAATGGCAATAGATGGCTTTGCACTTTTGACAACAAAGATAACATGCTTTGGAGACTATCTGGGAAACCAAATTGGCTGAGATGCAGGAAACTAGACTTTAACTAAGACCACTGAGACCAGTATTTAGGTCAGTTGGTTTAATCCTCAGAGTCTCAACTGCTAACCCAATTAGATCTAAATACAATATAAACAACCTTTCTTATGGTGGGATCTATTTGAATTTTACTGGTACCTTCCTTCTGACGCATCTGCTTTAAGACATTTTTGACTATGTCTATATAAACATGATTTGAGTTGGCCAGACACAGTCTCAATGCATCCTTCAAGAAACATAATTAACAGCCTACATATTACAGTCAAAATTAGGCTCGGTTTGAGAAATATCAGTTTCCTTTAAGACTCTGTGTGCTACAAATGCCTGGTTACAGATGCCACAGGAAACTCTTGAATATGCTGACAGTGTGAGAGATTAAGAAAAAAATAAATTAAGACAGATGTTAACTAAACATGAGAAGGGATATGTGACCTCCAACTGCTCTTCTGTGGTGGATGAGATGTTCCCCCATGCCTAGACCATGCATGGTCGAGGGTAACATTAGGGGCTGGTGCCAGCTCCCTGCTCCAGCCACCAGAACTGGGGCAGGAGAATTGCAGCACATCTACACCACTCCATTTGCAAAACTTACTAAAAACACTACTTTGGAGACCTACTCTGGGGATTCATGGGCAAAGCCAGGCAGGAATGATTTCCAAAGGCACTGAGGACCCAACAGGTTTTCAAAACTCCCCAGACTGGACCCTGCTGACATGCAAGTGCCCTACATCTCCTTTACAACCAACTCAGTTGCCTCCTGAGGACACCCCCTTCAATGCTATGGGGTATACAACATACAAATAAACACAATTCCTCCAGGAATTTGGAGGAGGAGCCGGGAGTGCCACTGAGGAGCCCTGGTGCCCTGCTGAGGGCTGCTGCCCATGAGCAGGAAATAAAGCATCTCCATCTGATCCTCATGTCACAAACTAAATACATTTTGTTCTGCTTTAGCTATTGATGGATAATGTTTTCAGCACTCCCAGCTGGTTGCAGGGTCATGGTTTTGGGAGTTGAGGAGTCCTGGAAGCATCCCATAGGCATCCAGCTGTGCATCCCACACTGCTCACTGCCACTCTGACCCAGCAGGACCAGCCTCACCGAAGCTCTGCAACATCCTCAGGGCATGGAAAACCCTCCAGAAAACCACCATGCACACCTTGCAGCCTCCACATTGGAGAACAGAGCAACGGGAACAGCTCTGGGTGTAATACCTCCCCTCTGGATGGTGTGGATCCCAAGCTCGTCTTTTCCTGCATTAAGTCTTCCCCAAATTCATCCCTTCAGCCTTTTCAGCTCCCATTGGCGTAGAAGCTTAATTTTAATTTTAAGCCAAATAAGCACGATTGTATCTATTTCCCTGAAGATGATAAGGCACATTGCAGGCTGGATTTGCAATCTCAGTACTTCATTTATTTAGTCCTTCTTGGAAAACAGATAAGCTCACCCATCCCACAGCAGCACGCCCGCCCGCACTTTATCACAGCCATGCCTCTGTCTTTTCATGAAGAACTGGAAATGCTCAAATTATTAACTATCAAAGCAGAACACTTTAGAAATGATAGAATGGTACAGAAATTGTAAAGGGAAGCAGATCAGTTGTCTGGAAATCTCCCAACAGCTAATACGCTCAAATTGTAATCTAAATGTCGTTTTGTTTTGAATTGTCTGGGATTAGGGTTGGGAAAAGACTCAATTATTCTACTCAAACTCTTCTGAATTATTTATGAAAACCAAATAAAGGATAAATTGGGCACTGATGAACCGAGGACCTGGCGGTGAAGAGAAAGTTGGGTCCCAGAAAACAAGCAATTTTCCCTCAATAGGAGTGTTTACTGTTTCTCCCCATCCACAAGAGCTGACAAATTGTCTCGGAGACTCGGCTGCCCTGCTCCCCCCAGCCCTGGCCAGGCTCTGGCCTCCCCTTCCTGCCCAGCAGCAGGATCCAGTTTATTGCCTATTGATCTGCTGACACCAGGGGAAGCCAAACCAAGACGTTCACTTTATGACCTCTGCTCACTGGGGAACCTCAGACAGGCTCCAGCGATGCTGGAGACACATCACCCTGGTGCCCGGGGGGCTGCCTCGCCCTTCGCCACAGACAGCTTTGAAAACTGGGAAAAAGAAGATGAAATTGCAAAATCCCAAGACATTTGTGCCTTCAAACTTCAAAGCGAAAGGGAGCAGGAGTCGGGGTTGGTGTGCTCATGCAGCTCAGAGCCCAGGCAGGAGAAAGGTGGATGGAGAAACGCAGGCCGCACCACGGATGCCGTGGCACCCACCACCACCTTCCCTCCTTGCCCCCAGAGCAACAAGCTACAGCACATAACATGCAGGTGCCTGTATATATTAGAGTAATGGATAAAGTGTAAGAATTGATAAAAACACTCCTGAAGACACCACTCCTCAGCACAAGTGTATCCAAGGAGGCAGGAGCAGCAAACCAAGTACTGTGTAAGAGCAGCAATCGATGCAGCAGCTTCGATCACCTCCTCTGTCACTGTCATTCCCAAAGCTGCTCTCCAGCCTCTATCCCACCTTCCCAGCTGCTTTCCCTGCTCAAATCCAGGTCACTCATACTCAATGTGGCCAGACCCTTCCCTGGATGATCACAGTGATCTCATGTTATCACTGAAGCTCTACCAGAGCAGCCCAAAAAGAAACCTCTCCTCCTCCCAGCAGCTCAGGCCACCACTGCAGCAGTCCTGCTGCTCCAGATGTGCCACCAGCTGTGTAGAGAAGCTGCAATGGGGACATCCTGATGCATCAGGAACCTTGAACAAAGGGCTCCCAGGGCTCCCTCTTTGCAGCAGCATTTCTTTTCCTCTGTGGCCACCCAGTCCCTCCCCGAGCCTCCCCACCATCTTTCTTTGTGCAATCCTCGTATCTGTTTCCAGGTTCTTTGACTCACTCACAAAACCCTCTAATAAAGTGGCTGGGCAATCTCACTGCCATTCAGCTCCCACTCTACATGCTCTGTCAAGGACTCAACTTGTCAAGTGGCCGCACTGTAGGTCTGAGCCTGCCAATTATCCCCCCATTTATCCCCAAATACTGACTTGAAAATACCAAATTCAGATCCCACAGTAACAACTCCCCGCTCATATGAAACCAGCTCCTGGGTGAGAGCCAAAAAAGCTGCATCCGTTTGGGGCTTGAAATTGAAACGAAAAGAAACACTCGCCCAGTGCTGGTTTTAATTAGCTGTGAATCCAGCAGCCAGCCCTGGGACTGCCATGCAGGATCCAGCACGGAGAACTGCACCCGGAGAAGTGGCGCGGACCCGGCATCACCCCAAGGGGGTACAGAGCTGGGGCTGCCTGCTGCACACCAGCCTGGGGGGGGAGGAATTGGCTCCCAAGGGGAAAAAAAGGCAGCTCAGCAAAATTCAGCTGGATCCCTGCATGTGTGGCTTTCCCAGTCAGCAGGAATTGTGTTCCACTTCTTCCTCTGCATCTGCATCCAGCTGACCTTGGGAGTTTTTGGAACTTGCTCTTGGGGCAGAGGGACAAGCTCTGTCCCTGCTCCCAGTCCCAGGACAGGATGCAATTTTGTTTATACACATAAATATTTGTATTCCCAAAGTTTTAGCAAGAATGAACCTTTCCAAAGCATTCCATGATGCAAAGAACCGGTGTGGTAAGAGAAATGAAGCTCATAGATCAAAATCCAGGCTGGAAAGCACATCATGCTCCCTAGGGAGAGGTCAGGCAGGAGAGGAGGGAAGGGACCAGCCACAACCTGCATCCGAGATTCACCTTTCAATCTGTTCCCTTTTACTACCCAACAAGCCTGCAATCCTCCCCCAACACCTCTGGATCT